TCTCTCTCTCTGTGTCCAGTACTAACCTGTGAAGTTGGCGCCTTGATGCAGGTACCACGAAGATGGAGCTGGAGCGATGGCGCCACAGGTAAGTAACACTGGCCTCCGCCAGTCTCTCTCTCACTCTGCTATCTACCACCTACTAGCGCCCAGCGCTGAAGACTACAACTACAGCTATAGCGCCCAGCGCCGAAGACTACAGCTAGCGCTAACTACAGCCTAGCGCTGAAGACTACTGCAGCGCTCCTCCTGAGTGCTGCGGCCGAATCCTGAAGACTACTCGTGCCTACTGACAACTACCTACCCATGAAGTGCATGGGAACCTCCTATGTACTACGGGTGTGCCTCTTGAGGCTGCCGAAGGGAGGCAGGGGCTGCAGCTGCAGCTCCTGCTCGAGCATGTGAGGAACAGGCTATTTTGGGCCTGTTCCGCATCCCAGTTTCCGTGCCTGAGTCTTAGGGGCAGGTCGAAACAATGAGGGCCTGAAAATGGCCCTGCGTTTCAGGCTGAAAACTCTGGGTCTGAAAAGACCCAGAAATAGGMTGAAACGAGGTAGGGCCTGCAGGCCCTCGTTTTTCAGCATCCAGGCTGAAACGAACGGGGCCTGTAAGCCCTAAGTTTTAGGCTTTTAGGCTGAATGTCCGGGACGGGCCCTGCAGGGCCCGTGTGGCTTCGCAGTATGCCMCCCCCCCCCCTCCTTGAAGAACCGAGCTTACCTGCGAGGGCGAAGTTGTCTGTCTGAGGGAGGGACCACAGTCCGGGTGGTAGGGGCTGGTCGTGAAGCTTCCTGAGCTAACCTGCGCTTTTCATAATGCGCATAGATCAGCGGTGCGGATGCTTTCAAATCTGCGCCTGATATCCACCGAGTGTCGTCGCGATCGCATGCTTTGAATGTGACTTTATACTGCCGCGGCTTGCTGCCGTACTTGCGATCGGAGATGACGCGGTCAACTTCCCGATGGCCATCCATAGAAGGAGGGTCGTGCGATCGTCGCCGGAAAGTCGTCGCTCTTGGCTGACGTGTAAGTTGCCAACTTCGAGGCGGGAAGACCGGATGGACCGTCAGATGCTCTGGAATGTTGATCACAAATGAAGGGCCATCGGGGTCATCACCCGCGGCTGTTGTCACAGACCAAGGTCCAAACCACTTGGGAAGCAGTTTGCGTGAAAYATCCTGTTCCAGTGCAAACTCTTCCGCGGAGACCCAAACCAGATCACCGGCGCGGATGGGACATGGTACGCGACGCCTGTTGGCCTGCTGCTGCATGCGAACTTGAGCCTTTTGCATATTTGCGCGGGCTTGAGTCAACAATTCCCTGTACTTCCGGACGGAAGAGGGAGAGCAGGCAGCGTCAATGTCGGCTGGTCGAGGGAGGAGAAGGTCGGCGAAGATCCGGCCTTTCCGTCCACCGTGGTGCAACTCGAATGGAGTCACGCCGATCGCCGGATGCACTGAAGTGTTGTAGGCGAACTCGATGTCGGGGAGGCGGTCAACCCAATCTTTCTGGTCCGGACGGATGAGCGTACGAAGCATCATTTGAGCGGTCTGATGTGCCCGCTCCGTCTGCCCGTCTGTCTGAGGGTGTGGAGCCGAACTTGGTTTCATTGTTGTGTCGGACTCCTGCATGAGAGCAGTCCAAAACGCCGACATGAAATGAGTGTCGCGGTCGCTGACAATGTCTTCTGGTACACCGTGGCCACAAATCCAACCAGTGTGCAGGAGGCGTGCCAGCTCGGGAGCCGTGGAGTAGTACTTGCAAGGGAGAAAACGCGCGTACTTACTCAATCGGTCCACAACCGTGAGGATGCCGTCGTGCCCGAGCCGTTCGCGAGGAAACGGACCGGTGACGTCCATGGCAATGGAGAGACCGGGTTCCCGTGGGATAGGGATCRGGTGTAACTCGCCGTAGGGATTGCGGTTGCGGGGCTTGCTGCGTCGGCAAACTTCGCAAGAGTCGCAATACCGAGTGACATCGGTAATGAGGTCGGGYCATCGRAATCGCTGTCGAAGCCGTGCAATAGTGCGGTTGACTCCGAAATGGCCGGCGAGTCGTGAATCATGGTACTCGCCGAGGAGGCGAGTCCGAAGACGACGGTCGCGTGGGACACATAGTAAGTCCTTTCCTCTCGAGTGGAGGAACAAGTACCCGTCGGCAATGCGGTAATGGCTTGCCGGAAGGTGATCCGAAGATAGCTGTGCATAGAGTGTGCCGAAGTCCGGATCAAACTCATATGCCCGGATGAAGTGTCGCTGAAGCTCCTCGTCGAATGCGAAGGCATGATGTGTCGTAGCGCAAAGATCAGGTCTTCGTGAGAGTGCATCTGCTGCGCGATTTGAGAGGCCGGGGACATGCTTCAGTGTGAAGTCAAATTGGTCGATGAAGTACATCCATCGTCCGATCCTGCTGCTCACCGTGTCTTGCGTCTTGTAGTAGGTCAATGGATTGTTGTATGTGATCCATGTGAACCTACGACKCCCAAGGAGGAAGTGCCGCTAGCGTTTGAGAGCCATCACGAATGCGAGCARCTCCTTCTTCCTTGCATCATCAATCGAGTTGATGGGAGACACTTTGTGGCTGAAATACTCCACAGGGTGCCAGTTGTCGTCGTCGTGCTGTTCCAAGACTGCCCCAATGCCATAGCCGGAAGCGTCCGTAGTCACTCGCGTCGGCAGGGTGGGGTCATCGATGCTAAGGACGGGTGCCATGAGCATAGCCGTCTTAAGTGCTTGGAATGACCGGCGTGCGTCGTCATCGAATACGAATGGCACCTTTGGCGACTGTAACCTCGTCATAGGTGCAGCAATTCTGGAGTATCGGGTGATGAATCGCTGATAGTAGCCCGCCATCCCCATGAATGAACGAACGTCCGTGGTGTTGGTGGGCTCGGGCCATACTCGTAGGGCCTCGATCTTGTCCGCAAGTGGACGGATGCCTTGCGGCGTCACATAGTGTCCCAAGTACTCCAGCTCCTGCTGTGCGAACTCGCACTTGTCGCGGTTTGCTTTGTACTTGGCCTGTCGTAGCCGCTCCAAAACGGTGCGCAGGTGTTCCACATGCTTGTCCAGACTCCGGCTGTAAACCAGAATGTCGTCGAGGYAGATAAGTACGAAACGATCCAGCATGTGTCGGAACTCCGTCGTCATAGCCGCTTGGAAAGTGGCTGGGGCATTCGTAAGGCCAAATGGCATGACCAGCCATTTGAAATGCCCATACCGAGTCTTGAACGCGGTCTTGTAGCGATCCTCCTTGCGAATCTCGAKTTGGTGGTACCCTGACTTGAGATCCAGCTTAGAGAAGAACTGGGCGCCGCCCAATCGCTCGAGAAGGTCGTCGATGCGTGGGAGAGGGCCGGCGTTCCTGATCGTCTGCGCGTTGAGCTTGCAATAATCGATGCACAACCACAGGTCCTTGTTCTTCTTCCGGACGAAGAGAACAGGAGCACCGTATGGCGATGAGCTAGGCCGAATCCAGCCTTTCTCTAGAAGGTTGTCGAGTTGTGCGCGGAGCACACTTTACTCTTCCTCGCTCATTCGGTAGATGCAAGTGCGCGGAGGTACGGCCCCGTCCTCGAGGATGATCTCGTGAAAGATGGGTCGATCCGGTACTACTCCGTGCGGGCCTTCGAACACGTCGCTGTAGGCGTCGAGAAGTTCGGTGATGCGTGGATCCGAAGGTGAGTCCGTCGATGAAGCGTCATGTGGTGGGAGGGCGTGGAGAAAACACACCCCCATCTCCTCGATGTCGTCTCTGATGATGGAAGCTCGCATGCTTGTGGCGGATACCACGTGGCAGTTGATCGAAGGATGAGGAAGAGGCACCGTGCATGGAACTAATACTCCGTTCCGGTCACGAACGTGAACGGTGCGGTTGAAGAAGTTCACCGGGTGATCCTTGCTTCGCAGCCATGACATGCCCAAGATCATGTCGAATTTGGTGTCCAGAATGCCAAAGGACACCGCCTCACTTGCGTGAGGGGCAAAGTACACTGGGACGGCGTCAATGCACCGGTCGATGGACTTGTGCGTATGACCGTCTGCCAGGGTGACTTGCGTAGGCTGGGACTTCCTCCGGACACGTGGGCCAAGGCCGGCGCGTACCATGAAGTCCTGGCTGATGTAGTTGCGAGATGCTCCGCAATCGATCAAGGCACTGCAAGTCGCCTTTCCGATCTGAATGCGTATGTATAGCAATAGTGCGTCGATGTCGTCGTACCTTTGCGTCTTGAACTCGCGGTCGATCTTCGCGATGAAARCGTGAAGGTCGACAACCTCTGCTCTGGCGTCCATCAACGGAGCTGGTACTGTAGTGTGCAAGTAGTCCCGCGATTGTGCCATAAGCACATTGCAATGCGGTTTCGGCAATCATCCGGTCGAGGGAACGGGCATCCACTGGAAGTCCGTGAACGCTAATGGGTCGAGCTCTTCAAGTCTTGACCATGACGTCAAATCCCCGGCGATAGATTGCGGCGAAGCTTCCGAATCCGTTGCCGATGGTGATGAAACCGTGCATGCGGTGGACTGTTGCACGTGGAGCGGTTGGTCCAGCGGTGGAACCAAGTGGACAGCATAGTCCTCGTAAGTGTACCGAGGACTTGCGACATTCGTATCCTCCCCAGATGTGCAGGAGGCCGCTAGCAAGGTGGCCGAATCTGGCGGAGTAGAAGGTGGAGTCGCCTTACCTTCCGCGGAGCTCAGTTTCCCGAGCTGAGGCGGGGTCGCACATCCTCCTTGCCCTGATCTTGGCACAGGGAGGTCTTGTGCTTGGTGCTGTTCCACCAATAGCAGCTGCCGTAGCGGCCGCGGACCTTGTACTCCGCCTCGGTCAAGCCAAACTTGACCCATGGAAACTGTCCTGGCTGTCCATTTCCGGCCTGCGATGTGGATTTCGCCTTCCCATTGTTGCAGGACTTGTTGGTGCTTCGCGGCTGGACAACAACCACCTGATCTCCGTCACTTGATGCTGGAGTGGCTGCTAGGTTATCTCCACTGTCCTGCTGGACTGCAGGGAAGTGCTGCTGTCGCGGATCAGTTCGTACCTTCTCCACATAGGTCGGCTGCCATGATGTTGATTTCTCGTGTGCAGCTGACCTGTTGGTCTTGATGATCTCTCTCGCCTTGTCGATAATCTCAGCAAAGGTTGAGTACTGCTCGCGATCACCAAGAGCCTGGCTCAATGCAGCACAGGACCTGTTGTAAAACTCACGGCGTAGATGCTTGAATGGTAAGTTCAGATTGGGCACTGCCGCAATCTTCTGCTACTCCGTGAGCCAGTCCCGTGTTGCTGTGTTGCCTTGTGACATGGCGAACAAACGGTTGATGGCGAGTGCCGGCGCGTCGTCGACGATGAACCGCTTCTTTCACAGCCGTGTGAGTTCTTCCCATGTGATCCTGTCCTTGAGGTCCGGTACGTTGACGCCGTGGGAGGTTGCCAGGTGGCTCAACCAGGTCTGGCATCCGCCCTTTGAGTTCAGGAACAGGGCGCCGATGTACTTGTGCTTAGCGACAGGCAGAATCCTGAGTTGCGTCGTGAATCCCTCCCACCAGAGGGTCGGATCCTGCTGCGTGTAGTCGTCGAACTTTTTCAGTTGGAAAGTTGGCATCTTCTGATTGCCATCTGCGTTCGTCGATCACAGCTGTTGGACCTCGGTCTTCAAGGTATGCAGCTGAGTGCTGATGGTGGACGGCGCAGCGAAGGTGTTAATGTCGCCGAGCATTGCCAGGATGTGGTCAACGCGTTCCTCCAGTTGGCGGCTAGAGGGTGCGCTGCTGGAAGCCCCAGCAGTTGGTCCTGGTACAGGCTGTTCCAGGTCCAGCAATCGGGCATTGAGTGCCCGAGTTGCATCCTCGTGGCTCTGCACTGTGAGGCGGAGCCTCGCCAACTCCTGATGCTGTTGCGTCAAGTTCTGGTGCTGTCTCTCCAACTCTGACCGTTGGTAGTTGCCAGCATACAACAACCGCGTCACGAGTTTGGAGAGGAACTCCTTACTCCTTGTGCTTCTCTTCCGGTGTTGCCTCGTCGCTGTTCGGTTCAAAATGCCAGTACTTAAGTCTGTCGATGCTTGTGGCTTCATGCCGCTGTAGCAGATCCTGGGCTTCCTTGCGGCGAGCCTGGGAATCTGCGTCTCCATCGGCCTGTAGCCGCAGCTTCTCTGCTGCTGCTGCCTCTTCAGCCTGTACGTGGGCCGCCTCGACTGCCAACAGGCGTTGTTACTCAACCTCTATCTGAGCCAGGCAACGCTGCTTGTAGGCGGCAATGGTCTCGTTGGCCAGTTGGCCTGGCAGGCCCGTCATGTTGCTGACGTGGCACTGCTGATGTGGCACTGCTGACGTGGCACTGTGTCTGACGTGGCACTGCTGATGTGGCACTGTTGACGTGGCACTGTGTCGGATGTCACTGCTGACGTGGCACTGTGTCTGACATGGCACTGCTGTCGTGGCACTATGTCTGACGTGGCAATGTGACCTGGCACTGCTGACGTGGCACTGCTGATCTGGCACTGTGACGTGGCACTGCTGACGTGGCACTGCTGACGTGGCACTGTTGACGTGGCACTGTGACTTGGCACTGTGACG